TCGGTTTAACAGGGTAAGAATAAGCTTACCGAATGTATCAGAAGGAATGGCGGTGGCAGCTTTCCAAAATGGATTGAACAGGAATGGGTAAAGAGCGACCAGGAAGTTATTAAGCAGGCTCAGGAAATACCCTCCTGCCATTTGGGAAGAAATTCATAATGCCTACTGCGCGGAGGTGAGAGCAGACGATAATGACCTTAACGGTCCAACCCAGCGATTAAGATCGGTCCAAACAGAGCGGAGGAAGGACTATCGTAATGACAGTCGAAGAGATCAGCCAGGCCCACGCCTTAACCAAGACATGCACCAGCCCTATGTCAGAACAACCATTCCACCATCTCCTCGACAAACGAAAGGGTCGTCCAGGCTACATACAGGGACTCAACGAAACGAAAAAGGTATGCCTCCACTCTTATCTGCTCACAAATTTTGTGTTTCTCCTTCAAAAATAGTATACGCTCTAGAGAAGCTTGGCACAAAGGTGAAGTGGTCGCAAAAAATAAAGTCCGACCCAAGTACCAAAAGTCGATTGTCCTCTGTGAATTTCACCAGGAGTTGGGTCACAAAACCGAGGACTGCATAGCCCTACAGTAAGAAGTAGTGAACATGCTGAACCAAGGGCACCTGAGGGATCTGATGAGCGACCGAGGACGAACTAACTTCGGCCGCGGACGAGAACAAGACCAAAGCCCTCCAAAGCCACCCTTCCCCGCCCGCACCATCCAAATGATCATCAGCGGGGGCGATGAAGCAGCAATCAACCATGTGAAATTCACCACCACACATAAACTGAAGCGGTCGATCACCCACGAATACTATGATGACTTCGAAGGCAATATCATCTTCGATAAGTCAGATGCCCACGGTTTGACCTTTTCTCACTTCGATGCTCTTGTCATTACTTTACATATTTCGGATACTGATGTAAGAAGAATAATGGTAGATAACGGAAGCGGCGCGTGTATCATCTACCCTCGAGTTCTCACGCAAATAAGACTCGAGGACAAGATAGTACCACATTGAATAATACTAACGGGTATTAACAATGCAGTCGAGCGAACCTAAGGGGAGATAGCGCTACGCGTTCTGACCGGGGCATCACCATAGAAACGACGTTCATGTCATGAACCAAGACACCGCTTATAACGCCATCATAGGGCAACCATAGATACATGCCATAAGGGCCATCCTGTGCAACATGTATCAAGTAATCAAGTTCCCTACTCCCTGGGGGATATTCAGCATCCGAGGCGAACAATGCACAACCCAAGAATGATACTGCATCGCCCAAGATTGTACATTCACTCAATAGCTAAAAGGAACAAACTCGGAAGTATAGCAATTATCAAAGTCGGGGTCCGAACTCAACGATCAGAAAGACGTTATCAAGGACCCCGACGTCGTGGAAGCCGCGGGATGGAAAATAAAAGGACATAACAACTGGGTAAGAAAGTAAGGACCAGAACTGAAGAAGCTGCAAGAAATCGAAAACGAAAATTGGAGAAGAAGGTTAGAGAAGAACAGTACTCATGCAAAATGAGAAATGGCAAAAATTTCCAAAAAATGAAACCCTCCACCTATTTATAGGGTTGGGTGGCGCAAGAATCGGAGCAAAGGGCCGTCAATGGCACCAAAATCGAAGTGGCAAAGGCACAAACGCTGCATCGGGAAGACGCATAATGATGACGTGCGTGGCCATGACGTCACCTCACATTAGCCATACCAACCACAACCTCGCTATCCACGCCGTTTTCTTGATCTCGGCCGATTCTACTCGTTCAACACGACCAAATTTCCTTTTGACGGACGCAAACCGAGTCTGCTTATCAAGGGCGTGGAAGACCACGACCTCAACAAGCGGAGGAACTAACTGTATTGGTCTAAATTTGGTGACTTGGTAACGGTAGATAAACAGGATCGAGGACGGGGTCGACCACGGCATTATAGCGGAAAGCTATCTTCAAGAGGATTGTAGTCGAGGACGGGCAACTGGAGTAAAGAAATAACGGTAGGATAGGTTTGGAAATGAATGTAAGGAATATTTCCTTGGATATTCCAAAAATTGTCTTGTTCATTGATTATCTTATCCGAGTGCATGCTATTTATTCTTTGTTCACAAGATCCAATGATTCTATAACTATCTTCACTTCTCTGCTTTCCACGTTGTTGTCTAGAGAAGGAATCATCCAAATCATATAATAATTAGATGGTAAATTCTTTCTTATTACATTTATTGTCATTATCTACATTTATTGCATGTCTATGTTATCATATTTATTGGTATTCTTTGAGTACAAACGTGTTAATCAACGCTAGCAAACGTCGTTCATCTTACCTATTTCCTACAGTATTTGATCTAGAATTTATTATTTTTAATTAAGATTAATCCTTTATTTCATCATTAATTAATTTAACAGGTTCTAACACTTTTTTGGTCAAACAATTGCTTCACTTAATATATATATATATGTATTTACTGTGATAGGAAACGAAGAGTTTGACAAGAGAAAGAAAGAATGAATGAATGGTGTCATGGACCCAAGAAGTGGTGCAAGACACCTTTTATTGAAGGTGATGATGACAATGATGAACCACTACTACAAACCCCTAGTAAGCTAAGCCCATTTCCCACGTTGTTGTACGATAATTACGTAGTAGTAGGATGTAGATTGTAGGAAAGACGTGTCTTTTATGATGTGTCACATGACATTTACATGATGATCATCTCACATATCAATGCCATGTAAAGTCTTCTCTCTCTATTGAAGAATAATGGCAGCCAGGTGCACGACATATTCAATGTTTACGCGGGATTTGGAGAATAACTGTATCCGTAGTGCGAGGTAGTCAGCCTACCCAAATGTAAGCAAAAGCAAATTTAGGGGCGGAGAGAATTCCTTTGCCGGAAAATTACACTATATATATAAGATAAAATTCGATTGTACCATTATATAATATACTTTGATCCCCTTGATACAATTCAAAAATATAGTTCAGTGGTTAAGGGGGTTCAAAACTTTTATAAATCACTAATTCAGTTCTCACAAATCATAATATAAGTATAAATGACTGATATCACGGCTCAAATTCGTAACTTATAAGTCACACTTATACAACTCTATCGCTTCTTGAAGGCTCATATTGAAGAGTAATAATGAAACCGATAACATCCCTCAAACTTAATTAGAGGTATTTGAGTTTAAAGTTTTGAAAATAATTTTTTTTTATCCTTATGTGAATACCGAACACATAATAAAAAAATCAAAAAAGAGAAATCCACTCTCTCTCCTACCTTTTCCCTTTCTCTCCCTCTCTCCTTCTCGAAGCATTTAATAACAACCTTCCAATTAGGCTATATAAGTCATTTATGATAAAGTTACTATTCTGATTTTGTATTACTATTTGTAATTTTTCCTCTGAAGACTTTAGTTTGAGAAATTTGTTTCAATTTAATATGGGATTAAGTTTTATCTGTCCTCTTTATATGGATAGTTATTTTTGTATTAGCTTAAGATACGATTACGAAAAACTTGATAGTCGATAACTATATCATAAACAGTAGTACAAATTGAACTTCTATATTAAAAAGAAAGAATTAAGAAATATTGTATTGTACCCAGTGGCGAAACCAGGAATTTACTCAAGAATGTTCAAACTTAAAAGAAGTGAAAAAAATTCTCCAACAAAGAATATTCAATATATGTTACATACCTTTAAAATCTAATAGTTTACTTATATACGCAGTGTAATTTTCCGACGAAGGACCATCCTTTGAAACATGTAGCTTCGGCCCTGATTGTACCCAATTTGACACCAATCGTGTAACATTTTAGTCCTACAATTTTTTTATCGATAAAAAGGTTAAATGGTTTGTTATAAAGAAACAAAAATAAAGAAAATTAGGGTAAAATTTAGATTAAAAATTATTTGATAGCTATCTCAAAAAGTTCACTCCTAAGGTATTCTATCCCATGACTAAAAATATTCGGTACATTTCGCTTTTAAGATTTCAAACAATTGTATATCTACTGATATGTTACAAATATACTTTTCATCATGTTAATATGAGAAGAGTCATAACTTATAGTAACATTTTTTTTGTGTAATTTCTGAATAATTAAACCTTATGTTACAAACTGAAATATTCTTAACGATTTAGCCCCAAAAGACTGCAGTTAGTAGCCTTGTCGATAGAAAAATGTCCAAAAAATTAAACGAATGGGTTACTTATAACGGAAGATTAGAATCGTTTGTTAGAATGCACCTAATGTTCTACCAATATATTAATGCTTTAAAGAGATAATAGGTACTATTTTAAATTCATATTTCCTTTTTGATCAAGGTTGGGTGAAATATTATATATCCTTTGTCTCATGATGAGTTGGGTGAATAAATAATACAAATGCCATGAATATTCCACCAACTCAAAACGACTTCAGTTGGTTGGTCCTTTCCAAACTAATTAAACACATCTTCATGGAACACTTTAATAGAGATTGACTAGGAAAAGAAATTAGTAATGAAGGGCACTGACGGAGACATAATTTATTAAAGGGAATTTAAAATATAAAATAATATACATAACGAATTAAGGGGATTCAATATCTATGCTTACAAAAGATAATCTCGACCTTATATATACAATAAGATTTTCGGAGAATGAAATTCCGATGAACCCGTGTGGCCAGGGACGAAGGGGGTGTGACTTTGAGTCTGTTTGGATGGGCTTAAAAGCTGGTCAGTTTGAACCACTTTTTAACTTTTAGTAGTGTTTGGCAACTAAAAAAATGGCTTAAAAAAGTTAAAATCTGCTTTAAAAAAGCCAAAACCAACAAGTTGGGTAAGCCCAACTTTTTCGAAATTGGCTTAAAAGCCAGATATTTTTTACCAAGTATATTACATTCTTATCCCTTATTATTTTTCTTAATCCCGAAATTACCCCTCAGTAAAAAAATCCTAAAACATACGGTCTCTTTTGTTTTGTCCATTCCTGTTGCAGCGTATGCGTTCTTCTTCCTCTGCGTTCTTCTTCCATAACTCTCCCCAACTTCAACTCCAATTTGAAAGTCTCTTCACAGTAAGTAATCTTCCTGTTGAATTTCAATTCCTAGTGTGTTTTCAAAGTTTTGGATTAATTTCAATTCCATTGGAGATTAGGGCTAATAGATATGCCCATAATAATTTTTCTTTTTAAAATCTCCGATGTGCTTACAAAAATTACAATATCTCTCTTTTTATACAGTTAACTGTGTTCTTATCTAATTAGTTAATCAGAAATTATCAGACATATACTCCACAAGAAAAGAAGAAAAGTTAGTGCATAAACATCTAGTCGCATAAAAGGAGTTAGTCAATCCAATGGAGCAACTGTTTTACAAACTCCAGCACAACTGCTTTACCTTAATAGGAGTAAAGATTGTATTTTTTTCATCTTGTAAGTAAAGGGGTCCCAAGAATTTATGTTAGTAAATGTAGAGTCATTGCATCTGCTATTTTTCTGTGATAAAAATGGATACCAGTTCAGTATTTGTATTGTAATTTATCAAAAATTTCCCAATATATGTAATTCAAGTCAAGAAAAAGTAATCTTCTGCTTATAAGTTTGTCCATAGCAAGGGTAAGAGATAACCATGATCCTAATAATGAGATTAAAAGTGAAAAAGAAAAGTTACTTTTGTACCTCATAGTTAAACTGTACATTGGTTGTCAAATGTACTGCTTTACCTTAATATACAAAGTTCTGTAAAGATTGTATTTGTATTAGAAGGTGAAAACTAGAGAATGTTTGTGTAATTAAATCCTTTATTTTCGTTTGCATATTATACTTTGTTTAGAATCAACTTTAGTCGGACCTGAATATTCTTTTTGGGTCATATTAAAGCTTGGTCACAATATGCCATACCAAGGAGTTGTATGAGCAACTTCAGTCTTAGCAACTTCAATTTTGGCTTCTTTAGGCTCTTTTAGGCTTTTCAGACTCAAAATATTCTAGCTGTCGTAGATTTTAATATGTGTTTTACATTTGCATGGGCTGGGTGGGAAGGAGCAGCGCACGATAGTCGTATATTTGGTGAAGCCCTTTGTAGACCGGAACTTAACTTTCCACGTCCAATTGGAAATAAGTATTATCTAGCTAGTTGATGCAGGATATCCTCACATGAAGGGATATATGGCTCCATACAAAAGAGATAATGTGAGATATCACCTAGCACAATTTCGCCGTGGTGCAACAAGACAATTGCGAGAACAAAGAGGGCGAATTGAAAAACTTAACTATTTGCATTCTTCTTGTAGAAATATTGTAGAGCGCACATTTGGGGTTTGGAAAGCAAGATGGTCTATTTTGCGAGACATGTCTTTCTATCATATTGACACTCAAAGAGACATCGTACTTGCTATTATGGTCATTCATAACTATATTAGAAAGAAATGCAATATGGATGATGCATTCCGAGCAGCTGAGAATGAGAAATATGTTCCATCTCTTGATTCTGATGTTGGTACATCTTTGAGAGCTAATAACAATATAAATGCGGAAAATGTGGAAGAGCAAAGTGATCTTGTTTGGATGGGTCTTCGCGATTTGATTGCTAATGAAATTTGTGAAGCTTGATACTTGTAGTTGTATGAATCTTTTAAAACATTAATATTTATTATTTTACATTCCAATTGAGAAATATTATTTTGTTTCGTTCTCTTGAAATATGCATATAATGACCCAACTTTTTATATAATTTGAGAAATCAGTGTATAACTTCAATTTGATTAGCTTGATGTATAAGATGGCTTTTTAAGTTTGTGATTGACTTCTGTCGGAGCACTTTCTGAGCCAAGGAAAGAAAAAAAAAAGCAATTGATCGATTAGATTCTCATACAGATATATACAAAGCAAAAACTATTCTTTTTATTTTCTTGGCAAACAAATAAAAAAATTATCTTAAGTAATTATTTAAATTTAAATTAAATTAAAATATAAATTATTTTTTATTTGCATTACTTATGAATCAAATATATTGTAGTAATCAGCTTCTTTTATAATGTTAACAACTTTAAGGATATTTCTGTTTCTTTAACAGAAAAAAGTTCTTACTAGCACTTGTTTATCAAATACTTCAACAACTTTTTTTAAGTTTTAGCACTTTTATCCAAATATGTAAATGCCTATTTATAAAATAAGTTCCAGCACTTAAAAGTTGAAAGCTATTATTTTCCGGCTAATCCAAACGGACTCTTTATTTCATTTTTTAAAACATTTATTTAGTACTTCGACATTATTGAGATGGTATACTTTTGTTTAGATTCCATAGGCATGTGGAGTATATATATGTGGAGCTTTTATGCATTTAGACGTGATGATTACTTATGGCCAGGCCCATGTGGGGTTCTTTCAAGATTTGCAAAGAGATTGAATAATGAATATTTGAATACAAGCATGAAAAGGCATGAAAAATTATGAGCCTCTACTTCTCCTAAAGTTGCTATGACAAAGTTCGATAAAGAGAAGATAGAAAAAGGAAAGAAAAGAAAAAGGAAAGCAAAAAAAAAAAAGAGAGTAGAAAAAAAGTTTCCTAAGGGCGAAAGCAGGTGATTAGTTAAAAAAAGTGCAAATGAGCTTTTATCAAGATTAAGAAAAAGAAAATAGTCTTAAAACCAGATATAGTAAATAGTCAAGATATCGAATTTTAAAATGTTGTTCAAAGCTAGAATTCCTACACATTGAGAACTCTTACTATTCTGTTAAATATATGAAAAAAGAAATTATTTAAGCAGCATATTTAAGTTACATATTATCTTCAAAGCTCAAAATAATTCACAAGATCACTACTTTTACACTGGCAATATGGTTTAACTGATTATATCATATAATAACTCATCTTGCTTTTATAAATTACCTAATAGGGTAAAAGTTATCGTTACGTAAAAAGATGTAATCTTTTATATTAAATTACGCATGTTCTGCTCTGATACATCGTTAGTAGGGGTGTACATAGGTCGGATTTTCGGATTTCGCAAGTACCAAACCAAATCAATTGTGTCGGGTTATTAAATCTAAAGACCAAACCAAACCAATAAAACTCGGGGTTTTCAATTTCGGTTTTTCGGGTTTTCGGATTTTTTCGAGTTTTTTCGGTAAAATCTTTGTAGCACATAATATATAATTTGTGCTCAAAATGTTTCCCATCATTTTAGTATGAAATTTCGAAGTTAGTTAATACCTTTAATCAAACATGAAATAAATACAATCCCAAAATTCTTCTAAGATTATTATCTTTATCTCATGTACCAAATGACCCCTTATAGTGTTACTTAACCTAGCTACCACACAAATATGTTTGAAAAGAAATGTTAGTAATACTTATTCCGAAGGAAAATCAAACTAAAAGGTTAGCTATCAATATGTTTGATTCTTATAAAAGAGTGGGGGAGCATAAGGGAAGAGGAACTAACGCCTCATTTGTTTGCACTTAATGGATGTCTGAATCTTAATCATTCAGATCTCATACATTAAGTGCGTTTATTTTTTAAATTTTAATCTTAATCATTCAGATCTTAATTAGTAAGTGTTTTTTTTTTACTTCACAACCACTTAATATGTATGAATATGTCTGCATGATTAAGATCTCTAATAAAGACTTAATTTCATTAAGATGCTATCATCCACATTCATTACTAACTGCCGCCATCGCCGACCATTATCAACTACCACCACCACCATCCTCAACCATAACCGTCATCACTGCCACCACTATTACCACCCACCACCATCATCCTCAACCATAACCACACATTCATCCACCTCAACTACCAACACCAACCGCCTTATCACCATCAATAAGCATAGTCGGCACCGCCCACCATTATAAACTACCAACACCCATCATCAGCTTCCTCAATCACAGACACCACCACTACCCACTATTAATAATTATCATCACCCACCACCACAACCCACCATTATTAATTATCATCACTCACCACCATCATCCTCAACCATAATCGCTATCAATCACCACTAGCTACTATCCAGAACCACCACCATCAACCAAAATCATCACCAACCATCACCTTTATTTGAATTTATGTTTAGTAATTTTAAAAAAAAGATAAATTCTATATATTCAGATGTTTAAAAAAATAAACAGTTTAAATCATTTAGTATTCAGATCTTAACACAAATCTTAATATTCAGATATGTATTCAGATTCACACATCTTAATCTTAAAAAAACAAATGAGGCCTAATTGATCTACTTTTCTTAGTTAAAATATTGATGATTTACTTTTACTTGTTTGATAATCTCTGCAAGAAAATCTTGGAACAACGATAAAATTATCTCTAGGTAACTTATATATCACATATTCGAACTCGTGACATGAAATCAGCCACTAACTCTCTCGTTAGAGTAGACAACCTATATTATATCCTTTTAGGTTGCGGCCCTTCCTCAGGACATGTTGAACGCCCTTTTTGTTGCTAATCTGGCTGAGTTGAAAAAATTAATGCGTGTTATGAAACTATTATATTGTAGATGTCCATTTATTACTCTGTTATAGATAATCTTCTTCAAGAAGATTATCCGTTTAGTACTTTGTTGAAGTTTATCTACAAGCAGCTGATGCAGGCATATTGCAAGCAACTCAATAAAATAATTTGCAGTAGCTTCTTATTAAATAGGCATGTTGCAAGCAGCTCATGCAGACAGATTACAAGCAACTCAAGAAAAGCCTCGCAACTACTTCCTAAAAAGCCTTGCAGCTGCTTCCTTTCTTCTATAAATAGAGGAATTTTCAGTTCATTATGTAAATCAGTTTGAAATTAAATAATATATCTCTCTCTCTCTCTCTACTTGTCTTCGATTATTTACTTTACAGTCTTTATTTTATAACACGTTATCAACACGAGACTCTGCCATTTTGAGCACTTACTTCGAATTTAATTTCTATTTAAGTGTTCATCTCCGATGTAAGGCGATGCTCTTACGTCCGTGGTTAGATCTTGTTCATTCCGAGCATCATAAGGAAGATTATATCCTTGAGGTGGTGAGCATTTCTTCTTAGCGGTAGAGATGTGGACATCACTTATGTCTGGAGTGGCCAAATTTGTATAAAGTAATTTGAGCCTTTTGCTTATATTTGATTTAATATCATTATCATCGCTTGCTTAGTTATATGCTACGTATACCGTACCTATTCTGGTATTCGTTTTCATCCTTATTATTATACAAAGTGGATAAGATTGTTAGATCCACTTAAACTTCAGCAGAGTTTGCAAGAAATATACAACTAACGAAAGGGGTTATGTTTCATATATCTCATTGTAATAAATTTTGTTAACCACCAGAAGTGGTATATGCCTATGACCATCAGAAGTGATAATTTAGGCTTTCTATGGTTACATTTGAAGATAAGCTACAGAAATATTCTCTATATTACATGCACGTCTTGATTTGCTCCTAAAGTAGTAAATATTTTAAAAGAGGTTGAAGCATCACAATTTGATGTGATTACTGCGCGTTCAGATAATTATGTTCGATTTCGTGAAGGATGAGAATTTTTTATAAATATTAATCCATTCCCTGAAGTGAATGTGATAATATTAATAAAGCCGTAAATATGAGCGCGCTATTGATGTAAATATATTACGATTCACCTCCAAAAGAAGCAATATGATTGAGAGAATATATACTCAATTTTTCGTATTTTAAATTTGCTTCTGAAGAAGTAGCACAATTGAAATTTCCTCCCGACATAGGAAAATATTATGAAGAAGAATTTTCTTGTGCTTAAACAATTGTTTTATATTGTTCATTTGATTATGATTTTCTCTCATGATACCAGAAATGTCTGAGCAATATTTGATAGTACAAAATGTATCAAAAACTCTTGAAGAGCTAACTATTTATCTAGAAGATACATGACACCAATAGTGTCCGAATAATATTAGATTGTGGATAATAAGTGAAGGCTCTCGAAGAGCTTATATACAAATATATCATTCATATTATATAATTATGGTCAAAACATATGTTGTAGTAAACCCGAAGTTTACTAATATAAATGGCTATCATATTTAGACTATAAATGATTGGAAGATTGAAAATTTTCATGTTTCCACAATCATATGGGGTAAAATAATATGTATGTGAGAAGTTACCTGCCTTATTTTTCAATTTGTAATACATCATGTATCACAGTAAATCAGAAGTTTACTAATGCAAAAGCAACTACAGTAAATCAGAAATTTACTGATACAAACTTAGTCACAGTAAACTAGAAGTTTACTAATGCAAAAGTTTATGCCATAATAAACCAGAAGTTTGCTAAGAGATAGCACATGCCATGATAAACTTGAAGTTTTCATTGCCATTTTAAAATAAGCTATTTGAGAATTTAGATAAGCGTATAACGAAGAACTAGAAGATTATTCAAGAATTCTCCTGTGTTTCTTGTTCTCATAATAACTTGATTATACCAGCTAAAGTTGGGACTAAGCCCCTGATTCTGAATTATATAAAAGGTGAATATGAGCCCATTCACCTATCACGTGAACCACTTGTAGATGCATATATGAGATGGTTACATGTGTGTTTATTTTCAACCTGCAGTTTGACATTTGAAATTGCTTTTCTCATTAAGAGCATAATTTTCAGATTATGAAATCAAGACAGTTCATCTTAATGATGTTGGTTTAAATCCAAGCTGGTTTAGCATTGAATACCTCCTATTAATGGCTAAACCATTACTTATGAGAACAAAGCTTCATGTGTTGGTCTAAGATTTTCTAAGTTGCATATAGCAGCACTTGTATGCATCAAACCAACAATATATGATAAGTCCCTCCCTTACAATTGGTTAAGGAGGATCAGAAACCAAACATTTTTACTATCTTTTGATGTGTGGTATATGATTAATTTCTCTACCACAATACACAAAGATATATTTTCCAAAGAAGATTGGGGATATATGTTAGTTTTTCTAACATTTGTAGAATGGAATAAACAACTGAAAAATATGCTATATGAATCGAATTATCATTAATATGATCCTCATTTAGAAGATAATTCAAGTCAAATGCCAGAAGCATTTGCTGATCTAAAACTAAATATTATATTTCAGCTGCAAATGCTCCTATTAAAATTAAGGTCCCTAAAAGGATAGAGTTTACTATACGCATGAAGCGTGTTAGACCAATCGGTTCCAAAGATAACAATCCTTGAAAAATGATAGGATCTAATGATCAAAATGATCATAATAAGGAGGAAATGAGCTCTAGAAGAGCCCACGACATAACATTTCATGAAACTCCAGAAAAAGTTTAGGTACCTGAAAATAAAAAAATGATGAGATCTCAACAAGTTATGTCGCTTACGAACCGATACGAAATGATCATCGACAATACATTTGATATAATATAGTGTACAATATTGTAAAAGATTGTGAGGGTCGGACTAGCAGTCCAGACACTTGAAGATGTCATGCCATTTAGATACAAGTCATAACATATATGACTCATTTGATTAAATCTTTATGAAGATCCCCGAAGGATTTAAAATGCCTGAAGCATATAGTTCAAAGTCTCGAGAAATGTACTCGATTAGATTACAAAAGTCTTTATACGGTTTAAAGTAGCCTGGGTGCATGTGGTATAATCACCTTAGTAATATTTGCTGAAAGAGGGTTACATAAATGAAGTTATTTTTCCATATATTTTTATAAAGGTAAATGACATTAGAATTTGTTATATTTGTTGTTTATGTTGATGACATAAATCTTGTTGGAACTCAGAAAAGCTCCAAAAGACAATTGGATATCTTAAAAAAGGATTTGAGATGAAAGATCTTGGAAAGACAAAAGTTTGTCTTGGTATGCAAATTGAGCATTTAACAGACAAACACTTTATCCATCAATCTGCCTATATAGAAAGTGTCTTTAAACGCTTTTACATAGACAAAGCGCACCCATTAAGTACACCAATGTGAAGTGAATAAGGACTCGTTCCGACCTCCAAAAGAGGATGAGGAACTCCTTGGTTATGAAACACCCTATTTCAGTGCAATTGATGCACCTATGTATCTTGCTAATGCTACAGGGCCTGACATAGAATTTTCTGTTAATTTACTAGTAAGATATAGCTCTTCTCCTACACGGAGACATTGGAATGGGATTAAGCATATATTGCGATATTTAAAATGAACTGTTAATATGAGTTTGTTTTATGCTAACAAAGGTAGTGCAGATCTTGTTGGTTATGCAGATGCAGGTTATTTATTTGATCCCCATAAAGCTCGAACTCAAATCGGGTACGTGTTTACATGTGGAGTTACTATCATATCATGACACTCCACGAAGCAATCTATTATTGCTACTTCTTCAAATCATGCTAAGATAATAGCTATTCATGAAGCAAGTAGGAAATGCCTATGGTTGAGATCAATGATTCATTTCATTCGAGAAAAATGTGGTTTTGAATGTGATAAAAGATCCACAATTTTCTACAAAGACAATGCTGCATGCATAGCCAATTGAAGGGAGGATTTATAAAAGGAGATAGAACGAAGCACATTTCACCAAAATTATTCTACACACATGATCTTCAGAAAAATTATGACATTGATGTGCAACAAATCCATTTAAGTGATAATCCGACAGATTTGTGCACTAAATCCTTGCCAACTTCAACTTTTGAGAAGATGGTATACAAGATTGGAATGCAGAGACTCAAATATTTGAAACAATATTTTCATCAGGGGGAGGGAAATACGCGCTGTACTCTTTTTCCCTTATTAAGGTTTTTCCCATGGGATTTTTCTTGTAAGGTTTTTAGCTAGGATTTTTTCCCTTCGCCTGAATTTTTTCCACTTGATTTTTCCTAGTAAGGTTTTAACGAGGTACATTATCTTTTAATGAACATCCAAGGAGGAGTGTTATGAAACTATTATATTGTGGATGTTCATTTATTACTCCGTTATAGATAATCTTCCTGAAGAAGATTATCCGTTTAGTACTCTGTTGAAATTTATCTACAAGCAGCTGATGCATGCAGATTGCAAGCAACTCAATGAAATGATTTGCAACAGCTTCTTATTAAGCAGGCAGGTTGCAAGTAGCTCATGTAGACAGCTTACAAGCAACTCAAGAAAAGCCTCGCAACTGCTTTTTGAAAAGCCTTGTAGCTACTTCCTTTCTTCTATAAATAGATGAATTTTCAGTTCATTATGTAGATCAGTTTAAAGTTGAATAATATATTAATCTCTCTCTATGCTTGTCTTCGATTATTTACTTTACGGTCTTTATTTTATAACAATGTGGAGAAATAACCAACCTTTCTCATTTTACTTCACCAACTCTTTTATTTTTATTCTTTTAATCAAAAGAGAGAAACCACCCTTATTTTTCCAATTTTACTTCCATTCTTCCAAACATAGTTATTCTCTTCTGAGAGCCCTTTACCAGTATCATAGCTGGGAGAATGAAAGTATTAGTGGGAAGATCTTTTGTTCTATCTGCCTTAGGTGAGGCTATGAAAAAAAGTCTAGTTCATCCGTGGGTACAAGGTCCAACGGAGGGATAGATTATGAGCCAATCTCCTAGCCTAATTTTCCTTTTGTTTCGGGTGGTTCAAACTAATGTTTAGGACTCATTTCAAATTCTTGGCACATTAGCCAGAATCATGCATAAGCTCTTGACAATGAGGGTAACAACTAAAACACCAACTATGCAAAATAAGGCCACCTATTGTCCCAATAATGATTTAATGTACAAATTTACAACACAAATTCTAACACTGGATACAACAATTTCTTTGAGTTAAGCTAACTTAAAGACAGAACTTTAGATAGACGCTGAACAAACTGGTAAAAACAGTAGCGAGATAAAGAGAGAGATGACATATCCGGTTTTTGTGTCCATTTTTCCCCAACTTAAGCCCGGAAGAACATGAAAATTTTGCCTTAAACCTGTTTCCAGCTAACCATTTCGAGCACCTGTTAGTCTTATTCTGTCCCTTCTCGTCATCTCTATAACCAGGCACATCACTCCCATCTTCTTCAACTCTTGCTATTGAGATAATAGCCTGCGAAAGAGCAAAGCAAAGGAACCGAGTGAAAGTTTTGTAATATATGAAGTACAGACCACGGAAAGAGAATCAAATTGTTTTTCTAAGTATGCAAAATACACATTAGGCTATCTAATTCACCACAAATCGTCCTTGATGAGGAGTATTTCTTAAATTGCCTCTTTAAATTAAAGAAGCCATGCCTCCAACACTACCACAATAACTACTACTACTACAACAACAAGATAACAACTGTGAAATCCCACAAGTGACGTCTGGGAAGGGTAGTGTGTACGCAGAACTTATCCCTACCTTGTGAGGGTAGAGAGGATGTTTCCGATAGACCCTCGGCAAAAGAAAACATGCAAAAGGAAGCAGTAACACAAGCAATAGCAACAACATGCAAGATGATAAGATAGCCAAAGATGAGAGAAACAACAATTAGAAAACTGTAATATGATTACACTCCGGCTTGTAACTTTTAATGAGTCAATTGGATCAAGATGATGTAAAGGGAGTGCTTTGACAAAAGATACAAAAATGATTGAGAATGAAGCTAGCACAAAATTCTCCTCCATTCTGGAAAAGAACATCATCTGTTATACAAAATATATGGAAACTGCAAACTGTGCTGTAAAAGAGTACCATGTTAACTTTAGAGTCAGCTACATATTTAGTATAAAATTTTCTACTGACATGAGATAATATTCAACTTTTTATACCTTAAGAATGTGCAAGAGGGGATCGTTTAGTGGTAGCTGGGGTGAGAACTATCATTTTCATTGTCATCCAAAATAAGTTTTACTCCATTGTTCTTAAGACCGTTAACTATAGCCCAAACTTTTGTCTGATTCTTGAAACCTTTCTTCTCAACCTCCTTATTTACATTGACATGGATCCCGTTTCCTTGTCCCTGATCAAGACCCTCCACTTTGAGACGCATTGCCAACACTTCTCCTACAACTGCTGCAGCCTTTGCATTGCAAGTTCTACCGCACTCCAGTGACTGTTTCATTGAATGTTCTACTGTTGATGCTGTTGCTACTATTCGTCCGTTGTTTCTGTCTACCACATTTGCAGTGATGTACTTCAATGATATGAACAATCTCAACACATACCTCTTCAGCAACGTCATATTTTCAAAAATCGGATCTGTTAAAAAGGAAGTTGTATTGTTAAGAGCATAAATAAAAATAAGCATCTCTAGCAAAGAGGTAATAGACCCTTTTTTCCTTCCAATGAAACATAAAAGGAGTTAAATTTTTTCCTCTTTATATGGCGATTGCGGGTAATGGAACAAACAACAACAACATACCCAGCGTATTCCCACAAGTGGGGTTCGGGGAGGGTGTACACAAACCTTACCCCTACCTTGTGTAGGTAGAGAGGTGGTTTCCATTAGACCTTCCTCTTGCAGGTAATGGAACAAAACTGCATAAACTCTAGGCACAAGAAAGTAATAGAAATTTTACAAAAAAAATCAGAATACTCAAAAAGTTTTCATCACAGTAAAATATGAGCAACATAGTTAACATATTTTAATTCCCACATTGTTAATGTAATTAGGAAGATAAAAGTAAGTTTTCGTTGCAATAACTAATCATTCCCCTAATGCTAGTTCCCTCTCCAAATATCTGAAATTTTCCACATAACACAAAATTGATAGAGCATAGAAACAATTACCTTACAATCACCACCAAACAGTAGTTAAAAAAATATCACAGTATCTAAATCACCAAAAAAAAAGTAAAAAAGGAAAATCAAACTTCTTAAGAGTTTTGCACTCTGAGAAAATTATATGTCTTTGCTACGAGTTAAGCAGGCCCCAACTTGGAACTCATTATCAAAAAGAGCAAAAATTTATTTCATCTCTTTATTAGTTCTCAAATGGGTATAAGAAATTAAAAGATTAGAACTACTTTTCCATTGAAATCGTTTCATTAAACCCAAGTTTGATTTTTTTTTTTGGTGTGAATCAATTGCATTTAAGGCCAAGGAAGAAAAGAAAACAAAGAAAAGGAGAGAGATTTACCATGAAGAATTGATTCCAAGCTCGAGAAGTAGTTTTTGAGAATGGCAGCTGCTGTAGTTTTAAGACTCGAGAACTTATTTTGCTGAGGGTTGCAGAAAAATGACTTGGCAGCTGAGGAAGATGAGTCCTCACTATGGGCTCGTGGGCTCCATTTTGTTTAATGCCCATATCCACTAGCCTCTCTAAGACTTCGGCCCAAAATCCACTCCCCTTTGTACCATTGTAATTCCACAAGTAATGTTCAGGGAGATAATATGTACGGATATTTTACTCCTATTTTGTGCAGGTAATAAAATTATTTCTGGTAGACTCTCATCTCACGACAAGCATAAACACAACAGATAATTAAATGAAATACAGTAGTAAATAAATCAAGGAAAAAGAAATAATAACAACAACAACAAAATAATAGCATCGAAACAGAAACAACATCAGGTAATAATAGATATTTAAAGATAAGAAATAATAAAACTAAAATTATAGGTATGGAAAGAAAAAACCCGTTCGATTAAGTACTGACATTTAACTAACTTCTTTTTCCTTTTTGTTCGTTTGCGTAATTTAAATGGAATAAAAAAAAGAATATTTAGATGGGCAGCAGTGAGCCAGTGCCATGAGAAACTGAGATTTCTTAAGCATATTTGAATCCAAGATGTTATGTTCAGTGGCATGTAAGACATATTTAAGTTTTTATCAGCATAATTAATTTGTTCATATGACTTGTATGATTATAAAAAAATACAAATTCTTTGACACCCTACCATTCATTTTCTATAATTTTAGAGTGGCATATGGGCCAATAGGCCAACTTTAATACTCATTTTCTTCAGGTACAAAAACCTAACAAAGTGAAATTAGGCCAACCCAAACCCAAAAACCGACAAATCCAAAGCAAATATATTTCACTTTAACCTAAAGCAAGCAACTTCCCAAGGTGAAAGGATCACCGTTCAGATTATCCTTGGACCTCCATTAACCGTCAACGTGCACCCTTTCTTTCCCACACGCCTCGTATAAATGTATCACTCCCACTTTCCCTTAAGACCCTCTCTAAAAACCCTCATTCTCGGGTTCCTCTTTCTCCTCAGCAGCTGCAGTCCGAGGAAAAATAGAATAACCAAAAGAAACTACATCTGATACTTTTTCCCACTCCTTACGCTATCCTTAATCTCCCCCAACCTTAGATCTTCAATTTCACAAGGTATTATTTGCTTTCCTGATTTAATTTCAGTTTAAATCTATTTTTATTTTATTGTTGATCTTTTTCTGATTCGAAATTGCTTTTTTTTTTGATAGATGGTGTCGGATGCGGCGAAGAAGAGAGATGCACAAAAGAAGGCGGCGGCAGCTGCTAGGAGAGGAGGAAAAGGTGCAGCCGCGTCATCCAAGACGGTGGCGACGGCGTCCAAAGCGGCACCGGAGACCAACGGGGTTGATAATTTGACGAACGGAGTGGGGGATCTTCACATATCTGATCGAAATTGCACTGGTGTTTTGTGTTCGCATCCCCTTTCAAGGGATATTCGGGTTAGTTTCGTGTTTTAGATCTGATTTTTGTACTTTCTGATTTCTCAAGTATCTGTTGGTTTTCGATTCGTTATTGTCTTTAATGTTGTTTATAATAGGAAATTGTAATTGCATGTTCGGCTTTGTAACATAAAAAAATTGTTAGATTATGTAGTTGTGTCGAAGGCAGAACCAGGATTTTAACTTTGTGGAACTTAAAAAAAAGTTCTGCATTTTAGAACGACTTGAGCTATAATACTGCGTTCCTAATTTATTATTTGTACATATTTAAACACAAATACATAGTAGCTACTGGGTTTAGTCGAACCCGTATCTGGGCTTGTAGCTCTGCCCTTGGTGGAAGGACCTACAATTTCTCGGAATTCATGCATACATAGCAAAAGATAGGGTACAACATAAGAAAAAGATCTATATGGGCGATACCTATTAGTTGAGAACATGCTTTAGACTTGTTAGCACTTTTACTATAGGTCCTATGCGTCCTAGGGACTCGGTTTTGTCTAATATTTTTTAGTTGTATGCTTTAGACTTGTTAGCACTTTTACTATAGGTCCTATGCGTCCTAGGGACTAGGTTTCGTCTAATATTTTTTATTTGTATTTGCAAAATATTGACTTAAGATGAGTTTAAATGGTTTAATGTGGTCAGTGAGGATTCATATGTCCCCAACTTGTTTGAAATTGAGTTGTTGTTAGGTGTTGTAGTTCTTAGCTTGGTGGTTAGTGATAGAATATCTGCTAGGGCTTTTGGGTTCTTCTGGTTCACTATCTGGTTGCATATTGAAGTGTTGCGCAAAGTTTTAGATGAAGGAGTTGGTGTGAAATTCATCTCTCTCCTATTTTTAGAAGTGAATTGGATTATTTTGGTTTTCAGGCTATTTTTCATTTAATCTCCTTGTTAGGTTTATTGGGTTTGCACTAGAGCTATATATTTCTGAATGAAAGGAACCTTAGCTTTATTCCTCCCTCCCCTTGGTATGACTGGTAATATTAAAGTGATCAACATGGCTGTATCCCAAGAAGGAGACATCCAGATTTCTGGAAGCATATGATAATAAGTGTTGATCAAACCCAAAGTAGTTGGCGTAGGCAATATGATTCAATGGTAACAATTCTGCTCTATCTAGACCCATTTCATTCTATTCTGAACATATAGAACTATATGTTTTTACATTGAATTGTGTCAGCTTGCATATGCATAGGGGAAATAATGTACTATTATATTTTTTTCTTTTCAGAGTCCCAGATTCCATCATTATTTGAGTTGACAAAATTTTGTGATATTTATTAGGCCTTGGCTTGTTTTCCTCATTTTTTGGGCATCCTATGGTGACTTTCCATGGTGTTGTTGCGCTAAGCAATATTCCAACATTGTTTTATTCACCTTGGTGTAGAAGAACTAGTCTTAAACAGAAGTTGCATATTGCTGTCAAGGGGCATGCACATTTATAGTATGTACTTGTTATAAAGAGTAATTAGTCTATCACTGAGAAGATGCTGAAGATTATAATGTCTGCCTTTGGATTCTTCCTTTTATTTGGGGATATCATTGTTTTGTTTTGGTACTCTTTGTGTCATAGATACAATCTTTATCAGTCACCTTCCACGGACATGATCTCATTGTTGATTCTGAACTGGAGCTCAACTATGGAAGGTAAAACTTATTAATTTCTTTGTATTATTGTGTATCTTAATTGATGTTAAAGTTCTGACCTCTTATTTTTGCAGACGTTATGGGTTGCTGGGACTGAATGGCTGCGGGAAATCTACTCTTCTTACTGCTATAGGGCTTCGGGAACTTCCCATCCCAGAGCACATGGATATTTTTCATCTTTCACGGGAGATTGATGCCTCTGACATGTCTGCTCTTGAGGCCGTCATTAATTGTGATGAAGAGAGGTTGAAATTGGAGAAAGAAGCTGAAGCTTTGGCTGGACAGGTATAATGCTGTTAACATTAAATTAATGCTTCATGGTCTTGGTATTCTTTGGATAATATGGTTAGTTTCGTTTGTATTGTAGGATGATGGTGGTGGAGAGCAACTTGAACGAATCTACGAGCGTTTAGAAGCTATGGATGCAGCCACTGCTGAGAAACGTGCTGCTGAGATCTTGTTTGGTCTCGGATTTGATAAGAAAATGCAAGGAAAGAAAACATGTGATTTCTCCGGTGGCTGGAGAATGAGGATTTCTCTTGCGCGAGCCCTATTTATGAATCCAACAATTTTGTTGCTTGATGAACCAACAAACCATCTTGGTAAATCTTCGCTCTACATTTTCTAGTATAGTAGATCTATCCTCAACTGTTAGGGTTTTGCCCTTGCTAGATTTATATGAACAATGTGTAGTCCTATATGACGGCTCTTTTAGAGTTGACATGTGTTATTCTTCTTCCTGAATGCAGACTTAGAGGCCTGTGTGTGGTTAGAAGAATCCTTGAAGAATTTCGAGCGCATTCTGGTTGTCATTTCACACTCCCAGGATTTTCTCAATGGTGTTTGTACCAATATCATCCACATGCAAAACAAGAAATTGAAGCTCTATACAGGAAACTACGACCAGTATGTTCAAACCCGGTCAGAGCTAGAAGAGAACCAGATGAAACAGTATAAGTGGGAGCAGGAGCAGATTGCTTCAATGAAGGAGTACATTGCTCGCTTTGGACACGGTTCAGCTAAGCTAGCCCGTCAAGCACAGAGTAAAGAAAAAACATTGGCTAAGATGGAGCGTGGTGGGCTTACAGAGAAGGTGGGGAGGGACAGTGTCTTGGTTTTCCGGTTTACTGATGTTGGCAAACTTCCTCCTCCTGTTTTACAGTTTTCGGAAGTCGCATTTGGCTACACACCTGAGAACCTCATCTACAAGAACCTTGATTTTGGTGTAGATCTTGATTCCAGGATAGCACTAGTGGGGCCTAATGGAGCTGGAAAGAGCACACTGCTTAAGCTGATGATAGGGGACTTATTCCCCACTGATGGCATGGTTAAGCGGCATAATCACCTTAAAATTGCGCAGTATCACCAGCACTTGGCTGAGAAGCTAGACATGGACATGTCTGCTCTTCAGTACATGATGAGAGAGTACCCTGGGAATGAGGAGGAGAAGATGAGGGCAGCAATTGGGAGGTTTGGCCTCACAGGTAAAGCTCAAGTAATGGCTATGAAGAACTTGTCAGATGGTCAACGTAGTAGGGTGATTTTTGCATGGTTGGCTTATAGGCAACCTCACATGCTGCTGTTGGATGAGCCAACCAACCATCTTGATATTGAGACAATTGACTCACTTGCAGAGGCATTGAATGAATGGGATGGTGGGATGGTTCTAGTGAGTCATGATTTTAGGCTCATAAACCAGGTTGCCCATGAGATATGGGTATGTGAAAATCAGGCTGTTACACGGTGGGAGGGTGATATCATGGACTTCAAGAAACACTTGAAAAAGAGGGCTGGATTGGGCGAGTGAATCCGATATTCTTTGTGTGTTATAGTAGAATGTGATGGTATTTCATTATTTCCTCTTGGTCGTTGTTCAGTGCCAAGGGTAATGTGAAATATCATCAGGACCGTCAAGGAAGCTGACGGAGAGAAAGCAA